GAAGAATTTTATATTCTATTCCCCGAACAAAGAAGGAAAGGAGACTCGAGGTGGGATCTCCACCCCCAGAATCCGGAAAGGTGAAACTAAGAGTGGGATCTCCACTCCGAGAATCAAAAAGATTCGGATAACCCTAACTGTCGGAAGGTTTGATTATCGAACTAAAGATGAATTTCTCGTTTATCGAGAATGAATCGTGGTTTTGGTCCTAACTGTAGGAAGGTTTGACCAAGTGGGAGGTTTGAGGTGACCCTAACTGTAGGAAGGTTTGATCACTCGATTTGAAAGTGGACCTCTCGTTCATTGGAGGAATCGAGAGGGGTTTTTGGTTTTGGTCCTAACTGTAGAAAGGTTTGACCGAATGGAAGGTTTAAGACGATCCTAACTGTAGGAAGGTTTGATCGCTTGATTTGTGGACCTCTCGTTCATTGGGAGAATCGAGAGGGGATTTTGACTGTGGTCCTAACTGTAAGAAGGTTTGACCAATCAGGAACTTTACGTCCAGACTCTAACAGAGAGAGTGTTGAGTGCACAGACACAGTGAGAACTTGAATGGGAGTCCTTATTCATTACATTGCTGTGGTTTTGGGAACTTCCCGTTACATAAATCGTCCACCCCCAGTTTCCTCTGCGGAACTGGTTCGGACATTATTATCAGTTAACTAACCGGGTTATCCTTAAGAATATTAGCTTAATATTCTCCAGGAACTTCCCGTCAAAAGTGGGGAAACAGTTTAGACTCATATACCTATTGGAGTATCAGGGAGTAGTTTAACCTCTTATACCGGTCGGAGGATTGAGAAACAGTTTATACTCGTATACTCTTTGGAGTGTCAGGAAGCAGTTTATACTCTTATACCGGTCGGAGTTTTGCCGTTTTTATTTGGCTTACCTTAGCGTTATAACGCCGGCTTCGACCAAGGTCTGAATGCTATTCCTGAGAGCAAAGCAATCCTTGGTGGGATGAACAACCCTTCTGTGGTATGCACAGTACTTTGGGTCCGTAGTGTTATCAGCTTCCTCCTGATTCGTGATAGGTGGTAGCTTGATCTTGTTGCCTTCGAGGAGCGATTCGAAGATGGTTGGAACGTCTTCGTCCTTGAAGGAATACTCTCTCTGGAGTCTCGGACCCGAAGTCTTCTGCTGCCTTCGGGATTGCTGTTGTGACGCTTGATTAGCACCACCAGCAGCTGCAGGTGCTTTGCCCTTACCACGGGAAGCGAAGTTTGAGTCCAGCAGATTAACCGTCGGTTGGTTCCTTTCGGCCTTCTTCCTTTTAAGGAAGCGTTCGGCTTGTTCACCGCGCACCTTCAGATCCTTCCAAGTGTCAGACGGTGCTGTCCCCATTGCCTCCAATACGTCCAATGCGAGGTTGTTGTGGCAAGTCTGGAGAATGAATTCCTCGGTGATCGGGTCCCGGCAATTCATCGCCTTGTTCCGGAACCTTTTGACGAAGGTGTCGACTAACTCCCCGTCTTTTTGTTTCTCGTCGAGCAACGATCCGATAGAGATCTCGGTGTCGTCGTCGAAGAAATTTGCAAGGAACTTCGTCTCCATGTCATCCCAGCTGTTCACGCTTCCTGGCTTGAGGCGACGATACCAATCGAAGGCAGCTCCGCGAAGAGTGCCGACGAATGACCGCACCATCAGAGGCTCGTTCCCAGAGATAGCACCCAGGTGCGATTTGAAATAAATCAAATGCTGGGTGGGGGAACCCCTTCCATCGAACGGCGTGAAGTTGATTAGACTAAACTTCGCCGGATAGGGGATTGATTCCCATTCCCTCGGGTATGGACAAGGAATGCCCGTTTTCTTTACCTCTTGAGCAGACAGCAACGTATTGATTTTACTCTCGAGGCTTTTGATCTTCAAGTCTTCACTTGTATCCCCGTTGGCATCCTCACTACCACCCCCTGCATTGATGGGAGGGTTATTGGCATTGTGAGCTTCATCCCCATCCGCGTGCTCCTTTTCCTGAGCAACCTGGTTACGGTGGCTTGGTTCACCTTGTTGGTTCCTGAATGCTTGGATTTGCTGTTCATGCATCTCTCTCATCTGCTGCATGGCCGTCTCCATCTCGAATTTAAAACTTTCTTTCTGCTTAGCCAAAGCGTCTTCAAGCATTTTGGCCATTTCTTCCGCGCCTATCATGAATGACTCGCGGGGTTGTCCTTCGCTGGACACTGTATTGTCCGATGCGACAGCAGAGCAGGAATCCGATTCTTCATCTTCCGAAGGCAATCTTATCCGAACCCTACCATAAGTTCCTCGTGCGATGGCTCCGGACTGCAGACGGGTTACACGCCGGGACGCTTCCAGAAACGATTTGAGATCAATCTGTGTCGATGTCTCTTTGCTGGTCATGTTGGCGGTGACCTTCGGAAATTCTCCATCCTTAACCACTGTTCTTCTTTGCCGGAAGCGCCTATGCCTTGGTTTTGGCGTTTCGGTGCCGAGCCTTTCGAACACTGAAATTCTCTCGGGGACTCCCTTGATGCAGTTGCATTGAGACAGTACTACCCGAATGAGCTTGGCACATGGGCACTGAGTTTCGAGCCCTTGAGGGCTTCTTTTTCTTGTTTTGTTCGTACCCCCAGCACGATAGTACAACTCGTCCATTTGATCGGAGTAACCTATCGCGTGTTGGCATGATTTCCCAGGTATAACGTTATCATCCTCGGATGACAACGTTTCCTTCTGAGAGCAAACTGCCTTATTTGGACTTCCGAGAGTCACTCGCCTCGAAACACGCCTTTGTAGACATGAATTCTCAGCGGGCTCCCGAACTTCGATGCGCAAGGTAGTGCGCTTGGGTGCCGTAAACTCTTTGTCATGTTGAGGGTTGTGTCGACCCCCAGCATGTTGATTAGTTCGGAGCCTCTTCATCGGGCCCGAGCGTTCATGGACTTCGTTGCGCTCGTCGGGAATTGGACCGAGGCGCTCCAAGATTGACCTCCTTCCTCGGGATGGTTCGGGAGGTTGAACTCGTTTTGAAGGCTGTAAAGGTCGATCCTCGGCCTGACTCACCACTTTGGACTTTGGCCTCCATATTTTGTGAGTTAGTGGTGATTTCTTGGCTACTCCATTCTGCCACCTTCTACGGGCTTCTTGAACTTGAGCTCGTGCTTGTGCTGAGAGTGCGCGGCGCTTCTGAATGCGATCCTCCAGCGTTGAACGGTTCCGTTTGACACGGATCCATTCGTTCGTTGGTGGCTTGGAGGAGTTGCCATTCATTGGTTGTTGAGGTCGTTCGCCTCTTCTGTTCTTCAGATCCGTGTTGTAACGGATCCCGTCCACAGATTCCATTGCCTTTGCGATTTGTTTCGCAAGGCGCTGACGTTGCCTTTGGCGGGCTCTCTTTGAGAGAGTCACTACGCCCTCGGCAACGGAAGATTCGGCCAGAGCAGATCTGACCTGGTTGGAAGGAGAGATCTCACCCGATGCAGCTTCGGCATCAAACGGGGCGAGATCTTCGTTGGCAGCTTCAACTTCTTCGTACCAACGAAGTTTTCTCTTGGAAGAGAGCTTTGGAGACTTGGACTTGCGAGGGGAGGTGGATTCGGACGAGGATGACAGATACTCCTCGAACTTTTGTTGGTCGAATTCGTACTCGACCTCCTCCTCGACCGGGATCGGGATCCGCGGCTGCGACGCGACAGCTTCGGCAGTAAAGCTGTTGGCTCCCACTGTGGTCGCCAGATTGTTCGCGGGAAAAATCGTAGCTTTCTTCATTGTTGATATCATTGCTATCTCAGTTAACAACTTTATGCGTTACAAAGATCCGGTCTTTTTATAAGATCCGGTTACAATGAAAAATCAAAGAAAACAAAGTAAAGATTACAATTTTCCTTATTTGTCGAACTAATCGCGAGCTCCTGTTTTGCGGTCGCTCGCTTTGGTGGGTTCGCCTTTGTTAGAGATGAACCTGACGTGCTTGCATCTCCCATGTTGTCGATCTAGCTCTGATACCAATTGTTGTGCGCGGCGGACGCTTTCTAGGGCAACACGAACAATATAAAACCACAAACAATATGCAAACCACAATCACAGCAAGAACACACAATTTACGTGGTTCGGCAAGTTGCCTACGTCCACGGGGCAAGGAGGGGAGGAGTTCTTTCTACTAGAAATTAAGAGAATACAAATAGGGTTACAAATCTCTCAGACCAAACCCTAAAACAAAGCTCTAGATCTCTCAAAGCTCTCTCACAATTGGATGCAATGATTCTCTCTCTTTGGCTGCTCAAATTCGTCCAACCTATATCCTAAACAAACAGGTTTAGGTATATATAGAACTTACAAAACGAACCGGGTCGAAAACCTGAAAAACTGATATCCGCTTCGTCGGTCGACCGGCCCGGTCGACCGCGATCAATTCCGGTCGACCGGCCCGGTCGACCGATCACCATCCAGCAGAAGCCCCAAAAATCCAGAGAGCCGTCGGTCGTCCGCACCGGTCGACCGAAACATCTGCGGTCGACCGGGCCGGTCGACCGACCTCCTTCCAGACGCACAGGAACCCTTGTGCACGAATGCGGTCGACCGGACCGGTCGACCGCCGCCTGTTTTTCCTGATTCTGCTGCTGATGCTGAAATTCCTTCAGTATCAATTTTACAGGCTTTGGCAATATTGTATTCAATGACCCTTGACTGAGTGAAGGACAGTCATAATTCTTCGGTTCAGTACTTACATGAACCAGAAGTACAGACTTTATGACTAAGTTGCGTGTCAAAGTGAAAGAGGAATTCTAATTTTGGTTATGGAATTAACAATCTCCATAATAGATCTCTTTCATCTGTGTATTTGTCAAAAAAACAAAAAAAGACTATGGGATTTTTTATGAATATATATTTTGGATCCCGGAGGCCGATATGAATAGTATTGATCATCTAATTTACTGATGTACAGGAGTAGTTGTTCAGAACTAAACTGAGAAGTTTCTTCATCTCTAGTCCTTACGTTAGGTACATGTTGTTTTCTAGTACTGACTACGTCTTGATTTATTCGATGATCAAATTCTCTTACAAGCCAACTTCAACAGAACGTACATACTTCAGTCCCGAACACACAAATCTCCAAGAAACTTTTCTTCAACAAATTAAAACATCAACCCATAAATCCACATCTTATCATTCACAACCAAACAATGTACGCAAATTTTTATCTTACTATCAAATAGACACACTATTAGGAATTCCTCTCCCTGTCAACCCCTTCTCACCACCAACATTCGCGGTATCCGGATACATCAACATATACGGCACATTCACTAATCCCCGACGATTTTTCAGCAGCATGTTCGAATTCCTCTCCTCAATCTTCTTCTCAACTCTCCTCAGCTCCTCCCCAAATTCCAAAAATACCCTCTTCACCTCTTCATCATTAGTCCACTCCCCATCATCTCTCCTCCCTAAGTACACCTCATCCCCCGTATGCCTTGATAAAACCTCGATTAACGCAATACCCAGCGTCGCTGTGAATCGGTCCGTCAGCATTCGTAAAAAGAACCTGTCAATAGGGGTGAGAATGAAACATATAATTAACAAAGTTATATTCGATTCTGTAGTTCATTTGGCCATAAGTAGATTTCATGTAAGTCCCTAAATAGCACTTAACACCTCATGACTAATTTAGCACTCCTGGATTTCCATTTTTAAAAACATTGCAGATAACACCCCTCTCCCTCATGAATTGAGGGGGCTAACATCAAATACATTAGTTAAAAGGTTTGTTACGAGTCTACTAGGTATAGAGGGGGGGGGGGGGGGGGGAGGTGTTGTGCATACTATTTCTTTATCAAATAAAAGTATCCTCTAATTAAATAGTGTAATATTCATAAATTATAAATTATTAATCAAATAGATATACTTAATATTCGATAAACATTCATGTTCAAATTTGAATTCAAAAAAATTTAGACTAAGACTATTTGAATTTGAAGATTTTAAACGAATACAAATACAAGCGCCTCAGTATTTTCTTATTAGCCCTTACCTATCAGGGTCTTTCAAGAACTCAGCGAACTCCGGCGTGCCCTCGGCCGGGATGAACCGACGGCATTTTGTTGGCCTATTAGGGAGAAATCCGGCATAAGCGTACTGACCGAAGTTGACAGAGGCGTGGAGAGCGGAGGCAATCCAGACGATGGTGGTGAGGGAAGTGGTTAGATTTTGGAGCGAGTCAAGATTGGGCCACGAGGAGGCTGGGGAGTCGCCGTGGCCAACTTGGCGGATTTCAGTCCACCAAGATTGGAGCTCGACGTCAGAGACAACGGAAGCGTCAGAGGGGTAGAAGAGGGAGCAGTAGGACGAAATATAGGTGGTTATGGCGGACCAGATGTCAAGGCATCGACGGCGTAGGGATAGTCTTGTGATTCGGAGGCGGATGCTCGAGGGTTCTTGCTCTGTCTTCACGGCTAGTCCTCTGAGTCGGCCATTGGCATATGTATACCATTTTAAGATAAAATCAGAGCAATGTAAGATTCAAATTTCATTATGCATGAGCAGGTTTAATTGCATATAAACCTCATGCAGTATCAGTTTTCTGAACTCACTTACCCTGTAGTTTCATTGTTGCAGATAGACGCTCTGTTTTTTTATTATTATTCTTTCACCCTTAGCTAGACTAACTAATTTCAGCCGGGGGGCATATCAACCAAAAGTGCCAAAACATTTAAGTCCGGGCTCTATTTGCAACAATAAAACTACAGGTAGTAAGTGCTGAAGATCAATTCTCTAGGGGTCTACGTGTAATTACTCCTTAAAAAAATTACTGTTTCAGAATGAATAAGATAACAGGACTACCATTACTCAACATCATTTCTAGATTTAGAAACTGATAGTTGTCCTAAAACAAATAACTAAAAGTCTGAAAGTAATTAGAAATTTTTTACCTAATCAACTTTGGACAAGCTTACATGTCTGTTCATAAAATAAACAAGTTAGATCTATACAAATTCATCTATTGTATTAGCATGCAAGAGGACTTATTAATGCTCGTCTCTTGTGTAGACATGTAAATAGATTAAGGTGAGTATATAAGGTATTTTAAAAAAAAGTAAAGTCCACTTAAAATCCTGCCATATCATTAAAATGACTCTCCACTTTCAAGAATATTATCCAGACTGACATTCCGTTTCTAGCAAAGATTACTAGCTCATGTGTGGTATTTTATCACTTAATTCAGGTTATTATCGATCTTATACAATTACCTATACTACTTTGAACACATTTGATGCAAATTTTCATAAGAGATAAAATAAGCTCATACCTTTTGAGAAGATCAGCAGGGAGCCCTTGTTCATCGAATCGCCAATTTTCATAAATCTTTGACGATAACTCCATGGAGAACTTGCCAGGAAACATTGTCATCTCAAGAATTCCACCAGAATTCAAGAGTATACTCCGTGCAAGTGAATTTATATGCATTGTGTCCTTGAAATGTGGATGGAGTAGTTTGTGAATAGGATGCATCGCGCTTAATTGTCTTCTTGTAGCTATAACGAAGGGTTCAACCGCTGCATGTGTATGTAACCTATTAAAGGTCAAAGGAAAGATTTGTCAGGTAGCTTTTTGGCTGAGTTTTCTGGACTTGCAGTGCAAGTATAGAGATTTCGTTTCGTTGCAGTTTTATCTCCTCTCTCTCTCTCTCTCTCTCTCTCTCTCTCTCCTCTCTCTCTCTCTCTCTCTCTCTCTCTCTCTCTCTCTCTCTCTCTCTCTCTCTGCGTGCGTGTGTGTCTGCCTATCTGCTTTTTTTTTTGCTCTTTTCCTTGTCAGGGAAATGACTTAATTTGACTTATTATCTTTTTAATTTTAGGCCCAGCACAAGTGAATGACGAAAAAATTGTTTAGAATTATATCTTTAGATACATCGATTTATTTGGATGGTGCTTTAGATACTTGGAACTTGAAGGACAATATTACTCGTAATTTAGTTCTTGGATTTGTTTTTAATTGTTTCCTGAAAATTTTCAAGTGATTGAAGAAGTTTCATGAAAGTTGGATGACCGATATTATTATTCTGGAACAGTAACCACGTGTGAATTTGAAGAGGTTATGCAGGGATAGACATGGTGAATGTGCTACATACCACATTCGATAATTTATACATGTACATGGTTTCACCAAAGTTCCACATGAAGGCTGAATTGGTAAATTTTGCAATGCTTACTGGTTTATATATTGAATTTCATGATATCATCTTTTTGTCAAAAGCAATAGTACATGACATATATGACTGTTAAGTGAGAGAATTATGATATATATTTACGTGAACGGAATAGTACAGAACATGAACATGTACACTCCTCGGTAGATACAAGTATACAACATTCTATGATTGTATCAGACATGTTCAAATGGTTTATTTTGTTTCTTTTTTCTAGTCATGTTGATATTTTCCCCTTGAATAATATAAAATTATTTCCTCAAAGGTAAAAAAATTCAAAAGCCACTTAACTGTGACAAATCATAAGAAATTAACTCACCAGTGAGTGATAAGTTGATGGTAACCTGAGTCATTAACTGCAACATGAGCTTTAGCAAGCTGCCATAATGCAGCATCAGTGCCTTCAGTTGCGGGGAGAAATACCCTATTTATCTCCTCTCCTTCTTCTTCTCCTGGCAAGCTTAGCTCTATAGCTAGCGGCTTAAGGGATCCATCAAGTTTTAAGAGTAATAGAGTACGAGAAGCATATACGCAGACATCTTTTTGTTCGTTAATTCGCTTTAGATATGGCATTAGATAATCATGGTGATCTAAGATAAATATCCTCCTCTGATTCATAAGCTGCGGCAAAATCACAATTCAAGTCAATGTAGAAAAAAATTGGGTCTCATAGCATTTTGTGTCTTATAATATTTAAGCAATTAAACTTCCCATTAACTAAGTTAAAACTTGAACTAGTTTTAGGTTTTACAAAATGAACGCATTAGCTTAGCCTTGTTTTGAGATTGTAAATGGTTTCTGAAGGTTTGCCCCCCCAAAAAAACTAGTATTATTTCCTCAAGCTAAAGATAAACATGCAAATTGTCTAGTATGGTCAGTTTTAAGGCATGTTTTCTATAAAAGAGAAATGTCATGTTATTCCCATTATAAGCTCCAATCAAAATTTCCATAAAAACTTGTATCCCGC